CACCAGTAGTTCGTTCGCAGCAGCCATGCAGCGTCTGGGAGGTTCAGTGGTCCATTTCAGCGAGTCCACATCCTCCACACAGAAGGGCGAGTCTCTGGCCGACTCTGTTCACTCCATGAGCTGCTATGCTGATGTCATTGTTCTGCGCCACCCCATACCTGGAGCTGTAGAAGTGAGCCACACATTAATGATTTAAAGGAGTAGTTCACTTTTAAAAAACCTTTTGCTGATAATTTACTCACCTCCATGTCATCCAAGATGTCCATGTCATTCTTTCTTCAGTCGAAAAGAAATTAAGGTTTTTGGATGAAAACATTCCAGGATTTTCTCCATATAATGCACTTTACTGGTAACCAAACGGTTCAAGGTAAAAAAAAAACAGTTTCAGTGCAAACTGATCAAAGGGCTTTAAATGATTCCAGATGATGAATAACGGTCTTATCAAGCGAAATGAACAAATCTTATTCATCAAAATGAACAAATCTTTTTTCGTATCATTTGGTTCGTTCAATGAACGAATTGACGCGGAAAAAGATTCGTTCATTTATACAATAATTATATACCGTTGAATTTTTGTGGAAACAGGGATTTTTTTTTTTACAGGATTCTTTGCTTCAAAAAACAGCATTTATTTGCAATGGAAATCTTATGTAACATTATTAATGTCTTTACTGTTACTTTTGAGGAATTTAACGCATCTTCTATGAGTAGAAATATACATTTGTAAAAAAAAAAAAAAAAAAAAAAAACGCAGGCTTGTAAATGATAGCGAACTTTCGATAAATAAACTTTTGAAAGTTTTGAGACATGACATCTAAATGGACAATTTTCTTCATAAATATTTCTTGGTGGTTTGTGCAGAATTCCTCAGTGCGTGTTTTTCTAAAAGTATTATTATTATATTTCATCATGAAAACTAAATTATTTGTGTCTTTGTTAAAATGAATTAATTTGTGCTTCTGGTTCGTAGAGTGCATCAAGGCATTGTCGGCGGCCGGTGATCAACGCTGGTGATGGAGTCGGAGAACATCCCACTCAGGCCCTTCTGGATATCTTTACGATCCGAGAGGAGCTGGGAACAGTCAATGGCATGACTGTGAGTTAACATGGGAAAAATATTCTGTCTTTAACTTATTAGCTCATTAGCTTGCAATTTCCACTTGGAGATGAAGTGTGTTATTTCTGTTGCACTAGCATCATCAAACTGAGAATCCCTTCTCAAAGTTTAGCCAATGTTGCTGTGTTCTGGACAAGATGCTCAGTTTTTATAATGACTAACTTTTTTTTTTTTCTTAAATCTCAGATTACCATGGTTGGTGATCTGAAACATGGCCGCACTGTGCATTCTCTGGCTAGACTTCTCACTCAATACAGGATCAATTTGCGCTACGTGGCCCCCAAAAACCTCACCATGCCCGCCGAGATCATTGACTTTGTAGCCTCTAAAGGCATTAAACAGGTGCGTCCCAATCAAAAATATGAATTCAGGAGTGGACCGTTACTTGGGGGCTTAATATTTGCATGGCCGCATTTCCCTTAAATGTGTCTGTCACAGGAGGAGTTTAACAGCATTGAAGAGGCTCTGCCAGAGACTGACGTCCTGTACATGACGAGAATACAGAAAGAGCGATTCGCCTCTGAAGAAGAGTACAAAGTGGTGGGAGAATTTTCTGAGGAGAACATTGCATCTTTTATTTCCAAAACATCATGAAGTTTTTATAAAAAGATTTACTTTTTCTGACAGTGTTTCGGGCAGTTCATTCTAACCCCACATATCATGACGGGAGCCAAAAGGAAGATGGTGGTCATGCATCCTCTTCCCAGAGTCAATGAGATCAGGTTTGCTATTCTCAGTTCAAAGCATCTGGTTAAAATCTAATTTTCAGGAGGAGTGTCAAAGCAAAAATACAAAGTTTTGTTTGTAGTCTCTTGTAATCCCATATTTTGTTTTCAGTGCGGAGGTGGACACGGATCCTCGAGCTGCTTATTTTCGGCAGGTGGAGAACGGGATGTATATTCGGATGGCACTTCTGGCTACTGTGCTGGGTCGATGAAAGGACCATCATGGTTTAGGCTTGGACATTTGGATGAAGGGAAACATTTTGTTGGCAATGTACGGATTCTATGGCTATTGTTTATTCTGTGTACCCCCTGTACCCTCCATTAGGTATAATTTTTTAGGAGAAGTACCCAGATGTGTTGTTCCTTTCAGTATTGACACTAAAATTGAATTTTCTTATACTGACTATTTGATATAAATTAGTGCAACCACAGTGGAGTGTGTGTGGTTAAGCTAGTTCCATCCTGAATATCTGAGATCATTGCATTAATGTAGCACTCTAGAACAGCAGGCTGATCAGTTTCATTTCAGTATTAGAAAAATCTTGCAAGCATAGAAACAATTTAACTACTACATCTTACTGTCATAATTGTTCATTCTGTACTTTTTGTTGTGCATTTACAACAGTACAGACATCATGCTCATTTTAACATTCCATTTGATGAACAGACATTTGTTATTCAATCCACTTGGTGCAAATAGTTAAATATACAGTATTGTAGGAAGATTATTTTTCATTAAGGTGCAAAACTTTTGTAATTTGTATTTTTAGAAAATAAAAAAAGATTGCAATATCGGATCTTTCTTTGTTCTCATTCCACTGCAACACCATACAGTCAGCCTGCCCTGCCCTATAAGCACACAATATATAAATAAAGTACAAATAAAAGGAGACAATATCACCATAAAGCACCTGAACATTTGCTAGACTGAACTTGTATTGGGTTTTTTCTACACTGACAACTTCACCAAAGCATTTATAATCAAAATTGTCAAAATCAAGATAAAATTCCAAGTATGCATCAAAAATGACATCTGTTGAATTTCTATAAATTTACATCTTAAATAAAATGTACATGGAAATAGACAATCTCACCCCAAAAAAATCGAACATTTACATGGTGCTTTCATTACTGGTTTTTAAATGGACTACACAATCATGATTTGATTATTGTGCTTTAAATTGTGTGTAAATAAACCAACCCCCGCTAAACGAAACTTATTAAAATAATGGGAACTCGCGACCTACAAATTTACATCGTAGCTAAACAACGCTTCTTCGGACTTTTATTTTGAAGACTAAAATAAACTACATAAACCCTTGTTTTGTCACATGATTTTGAGTCTTAAATTCAACTTTGCCTTATGTGTGGTGGGTTTAACCGTTAGACGGGTTCTGGTTTAACCTGAGAAGTATTTTTGCTTTGACTGATAAAAAAGCTATATTAATCCGCTTCACCTGATACTATCAAAGTCAAAGCATCGATTACGTCCAACGGCATTCTACGGTTTTAATCCATAGAACGAGAGTCGACTCCACTAAAGAATCGAATCACAGATCGTGCCCTCGTGCGCGATTCCCATTTCAAGGGATCCAAACATGCTGGAGACTCGGTTCAAAGAGTCGACACCAGTATCAAGCGCGTCCTCCTCAGAGCGCTCTACGCTTTCAAGGCAGGGAGGACATGCATGCGGCGATAGCAATGAGGAGCTGTACATAGGATATCTAAAGAACCATTCGGCTGAGTCCTCTATGATTCAGCCACAATTGACTAACATATTACCACCCTGTTCAAGGTGAGTTTCAATCGACTGTGCTGAAATGTGCATCTTAAAATCCACACACATTTGCTATCGTTGCTAAACCTGCTAATGCTAACTGCCTAGTCAGCCGTTTGCTTCATCGATAAAAGTAATTGCAAATTCACAATGGCCCTATAAACCAGTCAGCATTGTGTATGAATTTCATACTAGTTGTGTTATGAATGTACATCTCCTAGAAGACTTATATTCAAAGTGGTATTGTTGACATTAGGTATGAAATAGACGGTCGAATATCGTGCTTTCCCAGATCCAATAATCCCGAATAAAGATGAATGAACTCCATGTGTAACGTTACCTGTGTTAATTGATCTTATTGTTTATAGTAAGTTAGCCGTTGCCCAGGTCAAACCAAACGGGTCATGGTTAAAGTGAAGTGAAGGAAAAGGCAGGGTCTGAAGGGGATAGTAATCTGTACTGGTCTGGATTAAGACTGGATTATAGTTTTACAAGGACACTTGCCCGTTACAAAAGCCAGTAAGTAATGTAAATAAATATGATTACTATGATAATAACTCGGATGCATATCCACGACAGGACAAAAATAAACCTTATCAATGAACCCGTGACGTCACAAGACTCATCCCAGATGTGTTTAAATGCTGTCACTGGAGAGGTAACACCACGTGTTTTTGTTCAGACCTATTGTGAAATTTAGCAAATTATTATATCACATGTATTTTTAATTAATAGTTTTTTCTGATCCATTTTATACAGATGTTTTTGTTGTTTTGAGTAGTGTCATATATGTCGTTATCTATTGTTCAATCTACCCAATACGGGTTGGCTGTTACAAGCCACATGTTTACCTGGTCTTT